TATAAGATCATGGTTAATCTGCTCCAAGCTTTATCTCCTCTTTTGTGCCAGCTCAGCATAGCCATCAACTCCTTAATACTTCAAAACATCTGTGAACCTCCTGTTCAAATGCTCAGTGATCTAGCCTCCATAACTCTCTGGGGTAGAGAATTCCAGACATTCCCTAACCTCTGGGAGAAAAAAATTCCTTCACATCTCTTTTATAAACGAGTGTCCCCGTATTCTGTTATGATGTCCCCTCTTCAAGATCCCCCCCACTAGTGAGAGTACCTTCTTAATGTCTACCCTGTCAAGCCTCCTCAGAATCTTGTATGTTTCAATAAGATTATCCCTCATTCTTCTAAATTCTAATGAATAAAGGCTGAATCTGTTTAGCTGTTTCTTGGTAAGTCAACCCCTTCATCCCAGGAATCAGCCTAGTGAATCTCTTTTTGAATTGCCTCCAATGCCGGTGTACTTTTTTTTTATAAATACAAGAACCAAAACTCTACACAGTACTGCAGGTGCAGACTCTCCAACACCCTGTACAGTTGATACAAGACTTCCTTACTTTTTAAATTCCAAACCCCTAGCAATAAGGCCAATGTACAGTTTACCATCCTAATTACTAGCTGCACATGCATGCTAATCCTTTGTGTTTCATACACAAGTACATCCATTTGCTGCATTTTTTGAGTCTCTCTCAATTTAAATAATAGTCTGCCTTTTGATTCTTCCTACAGCAATTAGGACAGCAATGATTAACCAAATGTGAGACCTTTTCTAATGTGTCATTACACACCACTTGCGCATTTATCCACAAAGTCACTGAAGAAAATGAATTGCATTTTCAAATTTCTTGAGTATTCATATGGACTTTCATTAATTTAAAGTTTCAGTCATAGCTCAGTGGAAAGGCTTGCCTCTAAATTAGAACATCGAGGTTCAAGTTCCACTTTGGAGAATAGAATCCAGGTTGACACGAATGCTGCTGAAGGTGCCATTTTTAGATGGGACCTTTTAAATCAAGGCTCCGCTTGCCCTCTTTGGGCACCCATAAAAAGATCCTGTGGCACTCTTTTGAGCAGTAGAAGGTGTCAACCAATATTTGTCCTTGAAAAAATTTACTTTTTTTTTAGTCAAAATTATCTTCTGGCTGTTTGTGAGACCTTTTATGTAAGCTAAGTGACTGCTTAGTTCCTATGTTACAATAATGACTAACTTCAAACTGCTTTCTTTGGCTGTGAAGCCATTTGTGATGTGCTGAATTTATGAAATACACGATAGAAATGGAATTTTTTTTTTCTAGCTTTCATTCTGGTAACCCACTTAAAGAATCAAATCTTGATTTCATAAACTTGTTAGTACTTAGATTGTTATTTGTATCTCTAATGTCGGTGATAAGTTGATTATAAACAAAGGCATTTGTGCTATTAGAAGAGGCTCACATTCCCATGCATGTTTTACAGTGCCCTTTTACTTCAAGAAGTAGTTCTCTAACATAAATGCTACATGAGAAGATTCATGCAAAAACTAACTTTATTTCTGTGGTTGTTGACTTCCTCGCTGAGTTGGCTTGTTTTTGTTCAGACACTTCATCACCATGCTAGATGACATCAGTGGCGCCTCCGATGAAGCGATGTACTTGGAATTTATACAGTCTGGTCCATTATGGTGTGTAGTGTCATTTCCGATTTTGATCTGTATGGGCTTATATATGGGGTCCAATTCTATAGGTTTGTTGATTGCATTACAGGTGAAGAACCATGCCTCTAGGAATTCCCGTGTGTGTCTATGTTTGGTTTGGGCTGCTATGGTTACTTTGTCCCAGTTAAACTGATGGCCTTGAGTATCTGTACATTCAGACAAAGTAACCATAGTAGCCCAAACCAAACATAGACATGCACGGGAATTCCTAGAGGCATGATTCTCCACCTGTAATGCAATCAACAAACATATATAATTGGACCCTATATACAAATCCATACAGATCAAAACCGGAAATGACACTACTCACTATAACAGACCGGACTGTATAAATTCCAAGCAGAGTAGAATAACATCGCTTCATTGGAGGCTCCACTGATGATGTCACCTAGCATGGTGATGAAACGTCTGAACGAGAACAAGCCAGCTCGGCGAGCAAGTCAACAACCTCATCCACAACCCCAGCTACAGATCTTTGCCAATACTTTGACTTTATTTCTGATTTAATGATGACTCTGTCCCCTTCATCCCTTCCCTGATAACCATTCTTCATGGTTATGTACGAGACTGTAAACACTGCCCTGTCATTGTCATGTATTGGAACTGCAAGGTACCATTTAACTTAGTTTTGCAGTGGCTGAACTGCCTCTAATTCATTGTGCTGCTGTCTAATACTCCGTATTAGATGAGCATAAATTTCCTCCAATTAGATGTTATCTGTATTAAATGGCCATTGTTTTTGGTCTTTGCCACAAACTGTGTTCATTAATGCACAGACTACATCCCCTCCCTGGTAATGGAGATTGAACTTTGACATTCTATTTGACTGTAAGCTGAATTTCTGACCCCCTTGCCTCTCCATCACTAAGAGCTACTTTGTACTTTCATTTCTGATATTCACCAGCCTCTGTCCATCCTCAGCACATCACTCATGAAACTTTTATGTTGTGCTATTGTTATTTCCAGATTCAATGGCTGACCACCTTCCTACCCTCCATACACTCGTACTTATCATCTGCTTGTACTCTAACTTGCAACAAGTCCTGCTCACCCATTAACCTTGTCATCGCTGACCCACACCTGCTCCTTGTCTAGCAGCACACCAATTTTAAGATTCTCATCCTTGTGTTCACATTCCTCCAGCCCACACCCTTCTGAGATCTGTGCACTACTCCAATTCTGGCGTCTTGAACCTCCCTGGCCTGTATTTTCAGCTGCCTGGGCCCAAGCCTTGGAATTCTCCCCCTAAACCCCTCTGCCCCACTCTTCTCTTAAGAATGATCTTAAAACGTATCTTTTTTACATAAAGGTTTTGACCATCTGTCCCAATGTTTGATAATGCTTTTGTGTGGAGCTTTGGGGATTTTTAGTTTTGTTAAAGTGCTATGTAAATGCAAGTTGTTATTGAAGAGAGAGAATACATCAATCTTAATGCTTTACTTTTTGATTTGTAGCTTTTGGAGGATCTGGATGAACAACTCAATTGTACACGATTTGAGGAGGCTGCTGTGCTGCATAAGCTAAATGGTATGCAGAAACTCTTGTTGCCAGCAGTAATACTATAGTACATATGATACTGTATACAACACAATCCTTAATAGGGCAGAAAGCTTAGCTGAATTTGATACCTTTTCATTTTCTGTCAAGTATGTGAGATTCCTACACAATAGTTTGAGTCACAACTGATATATTTTTGAGCTGTGCAGTTTTGTGTTCCAATGATAGCTGATCATTACAATGGAAAGTTTGATCTTTAGTTAAATAGAAAAATTAATATGTTTGAAAGGCATTGAAATGCAACATTGTTGCTAATGTATCGTTTTTTCTTTCTTATGGTGCCAGGCAAGATGTCACCTTGCTGGGTGTTTTTCAGTGTGGAGTCCCTTAAGTATCACTTCCTGAGTATCCATGCCAGGAGGATTAAGTTGGGTAAGGGACAGAAAATCTGGATTAGCTTTGTACTACTGCATAGTGCGACATGTTTAACAGCAAATTTGTTCCTACAGAAATAAGGAGAAGAGCATCACCTTGGCAAAGAAACCTGGGATATCCGTTAGTCATGTTGCTGCTTCTGGCATTAACAGTAAGTGTTAAAAATATTGATCGGGTTTTGATGAAGAGACTCCAGCCACTTGGTTGTCCACCTGTAATTAATGCAAATTTTAACCTCTATTCCATGGCTATTTTTATAAAGCACAAACAAACTGGTTTAATATTCAAAGGGTGCAATCTATGTTCATGTTACAATGGTACAAAACACAAACCTGCAAATTAGACTTAATTCTCACTGCAACCTTCTTCTGATAAATGCGCACCTTGTCCAAACATAGAAGGCCATGTACTCAATCACATCTTGTTCACTTTCTGTGCAGAATTGCCGATCACACGGAACGTTTAACTACAAAGTGTTCTGTAAACTGTTTTTAATGCTTTGCCAACTCGATGCAGCCAACCCACCTCAAATGTCATCTAGAGACTGTAGCATGCTTTATAGTCTGGCCTTTCTTTTAGTGTAAGAGGTTTTCAAGTTGGTTTTTTTTTTGTTTTGGGTTCAACTATTGAATACAAATGTTTGCATATTTGTTACGGACTAGACCAAACCTCCCTCAAAATATATTAAGACAGCCTAGACCCTAACTTTTTCTTATTTTAAAGGTAAGTGTAAGGCGTAGTGTTCCAGATGCAATTCGATTGGTCAAACTACTCGACTTTAAGCAAAACACACTTTACTTTTACTCTACAGTTAAAATACAGACAAAATAAAAGAATTGGCTTAACTGTAACTCTATTTTGTTAAGCATTTCAATATATATATACTAACTGCTATTAATTAACTGTTCCAATATAGTAGCATCCCATAAACACACCCTTGGCAAAGGCAAATTCAGTAAAATACATTGTCTCAAATACAATTCCAGCAGCAGGAAGAGAACCCTGGCTTTTAGCTGTAACAGAGAAAGTAATAAGAGCTTCCACATCCACCTTCAAGACACCAGCAAGTGCTGAAAGCTAAAACTAAAAATCCTGGTTCTGTGGGAGCTTGAGCCGACCCACTCAGGCTGCTTCTATTGTTCCAACTTTTAAAGAAAAACCCAAGGCCTCACAAGCTGTTTACTTTATTGACTTTGATAACCTCTGTCTCGACCTTTCTTCATTTAAAAAAAAAAAATAAAAGTATCAGGACAAAATACACCTCCTTTAAAGCCACAATATTGTCTGTGTTTTTGCTGTTTGTACAAATCGGTGTTTCTCTCTCAAACAAATACTGATGGGGGATAAATGTTGTGTATTTTTCTTCTTACAAAATCTTAAAAAGCATTGTTTTGGCTGTGAACAAAATCAACCTAAAAAACGTTTTCTCAATGGAAGGAATTGCGAGGAGGACCATTTTCAAGCAACTTGTCATTCCAGTTGTCCACACATTATGATGTTAGAAGAAAAATACAGGGGAACACTTGGGTCTTGGAGTTCCAATGCCAAATTGGCTAGGGAGAGTGCAGACTTAAATCTCGCGTAGTCAACCAAGGGTTCTGGAAAAAAGTCATATTAGACTGAAAACATTAACTGACTGTCCCCACATATGCTGCCAGATCTATTGAGGGTTTCTAGAATTTTCTGTTTTTATTTAATCAGATTTAGCTGTCAGACTTTTGAATAGGACAAGTTCAGTCTTTTGTTATTGTTGCTTTCTCAATTAGCTTCAGCTTTCTGCATGGTGTCCATTTGCCCATTTCAATTTTACTGTGGGAATGAACATCTTTCTAATCATTGCAGTTTGGGATAATTGTACAGAATCTACTGTGGTATCTTCAATAAGAGACAATCCAACCATCACCCTAACATTCAGTGTCATTACCATCACTGAATCTCACACTATCAACTTCCTGGGGCTTTCCATTGACCAGAAACTCAACTTGACTATCTGTATAAATACTGTGACTATCAGAGCAGGTCAGAGGCTGAGAATCCTGCAGTGAGTAACTCACCACCTGACTCCTCAAAACCTGTCTACTATCTACAAGGCACAAATCCGGAGTGTGATGGAATACTCCCCACTTGCCTGGATGGGTGCAGCTCCAGCAACACTCAAAGCTTGACACCATCCAGGACACAGCAGCCCGCTTGATTGGCACCACATCTACCACCTTCAACATTCATTCCCTGTACCACTGATGCATAACGGCAGCAGTGTGTACTACCTACGAGATGCACTGCAGAAACTCACCAAGGATCCTTTGACAGCATCTTCCAAACGTGACTTGTAATATCTAGAAGGTCAAAAGCCTCAAACTCATGGAACACCACCACCTGCAAGTTTCCGTCCAAGTCTCCCACATGGAAATATATCGCTGTTCCTTCAGTGTCACTGGGTCAGATTCTAGGAGTTCCCTCCCTAAGAAGATTGAGTGTACCTGCAGCACAAGGACCACAGTGGTTCAAGAAAGCAGCTCATCATCACCTTCTCTAGGGCAATTAGGCATGGACAGCAAATGCTGGCCCAGCCAGGGACAGCCACATCCTGTGAAAGTATATTTAAAAATAAAAGAAAAATGTTTTTACCTCATTTCTTTGTGAAGTGGTTTGGAAGCCTTTTTTTTTTTTTTGGCTATTCATACATTTTGTAATTCAGTGTTGGTTTCAGAGTTCAGTCTCCAATCCCTCCTGAGACCCCTGGAGCTGCATTATGTTTTATGAGTGACTCATTTGCATAACTCACCCAAAATGTTGAATGGCATCATAGTTTTGAAATAAACTTTGTTTTATACAGGAATTAATTGATTATGGTTCAATTGGTTGAACCAGAAAACCTAACTTCACATGAAAGCCCTCATTGAGAAGATAAACTATCTGCTGGCCTTTGGCACAAACATATTTGGTTCCTGTTTTAGTTCTGATGCAAATGTGAGCCAGGAATTGTACATTACTTGATCCATAAACAAAACTTCCAGTATTTTAAAATTCGTGCCCCGATCACACTTAAGTATTACCCGAATAAAGATGTCTGAGCTAGTGAAAAATGCAACACTTCAGCAGCTAGCAGCAGCATCGAGCCCTTCCACCGGAGGTGTGTCATGGACCAAACACAGCATTCAGCATCCTCTGCTCTGCTTCCACAATGTTCTACAACTTCTATTGTACTATTCGCGCTGGGTTGCAAAGGGTTACACTGGGGGCTTGTGCTGACTGATGGCTCCAAACTCACTTTGTATTGTCCTATCAGTTTTAAGAGTTGCATTGACTGCACTGGAATGAATAAACTGCTCTTGAAACATAGTGATGTAGCTTAATCTCGACTGCTCTGGGACTGACAGTGATGTCTGTCTAAATGGGAAATACTGGATTACACATTCTTCCCAGTTGATTTTTTTTTATCTGCTGTAATTTCAGGGTATCTCAGTGCTATTGGTGGGATACCATGTTCTTGAATTACTAATCGATGAAACAGCCATGCCTAAAGGAATGCAGGTAAGAAATCTAAAATAAAGCACAGACTGTCAGATATTTGTGTGTTGTGTTTGCGTGTGTCAGAGGCATTCACAGAGCTGTGATGTTTCATCTGCCTCCTCCATGCTCTTCCATCTCTTCACCCTGACCAACCCCGCCCCCGCCATCCCAAATACATATTTTAGTTTTAAAAGCTGTGCATCGTTGATTTGGAAAACTCCGCATGATTTTTGTGAGGTGAGAATATTAAAGGTTACTCAACCATGGTCCAGTTGAATAGTGGAGCAGGCTTAATAGGCTGAACGACCTTCTCCTGTTTCTTGTGTAGTAGCTGAAATTTCCCAGACTGGCTCCTGTAACTTCTGTCTGGCTATTACCCTGTGACTAGCTGGAATTACCATAGTTTGGTGCCTTTTATCATTTCTAAAATTCAGCACGGGAGGTCTCCAAAGTTAAATATGTGACTGGTGTACAAATGCACAGACAGTCATACATCGTGCGTTCTGTAACAAGATCAACTACCTGTGACCTTGTTACAGTGCAGTGGAACCGAACTCATTAAATGGTCATCTTAAAGATAGAAGCCATTTAATTCTGTGTGAGGATCTACATGACAAGATGTTTAGTTTGAATGTAGAAAAGCATGCACACATGTGTAGTCTGGTGCAGAGAGTCATAGAGCTGTACAGCACGGAAACAGACCGTTTCGGTCTAACCCATCCATGCTGACCAGATATCCTAAATTAATTTAGTCCCATTTTCCAGCATTTAACCCATCTCTTTCTAAACCCTTCCTATTCATATACCCATCCAGATGCCTTTTAAATATTGTAATTGTACCAGCCTCCACCACTTCCTCTGGCAGCTCATTCCATACTCTCACTACCCTCTGTGTGAAGAGGGCACCCCTTAGGTCCCTTTTCAATCTTTCCCTTCTCACCTTAAACCTATGCCCCTCTAGTTTTGGATTCCCTTACCCTGGGGAAAAGACCTTGGCTCTTCACCCTATCCATGCCCCTCATGATTTTTATAAACTTCAAAAAGGTCACCCCATTTTTAAAACTGCTTATTCACTTGTAAAAGTATTGTTTTTAACAGTAACTCCACTCTCTAAACCGGCACTTGATGCTGAATTATAAATGGAGCATATACTCTCTTTTAATAAAGACAAAGTGCTGGAGAAACCTGGAATGTTTCTCTCTCCAGATGCTGCCCAACAGAGTTAATGTTTCAAGTCGGATATAGATGATTTCCTTTTTATCATATATGCAAACAGAAGAACAAAATGTGTCAACGTAAGCAAAAGTGAATTTTATGTACCTTCTTCCAATAGATATCCTCCAGCCTTTTAAGCTGTTGTACTGTTTTACAATGTGGTCCCTAAACCTTTTTCGAGATACATCATGCACAAGCTTTAATAACCTGGAGAGGGAGCTCCTACACCATGTACAGCACACATCTGAAATAAGAATAAAAAATGTTGGAACATGCACTGCATGTCTGCCAAAAAGGGAAAAAACTGGATTAACTCTTCACAACTCCTTTGCGACTCTGAAAATTAATTGACAGTACAATATTGGCCTATTTCTTCTCCTTCCAAATGTGGACCAGCCTCTTGTATACCTCCAGTATTTTTTTTCATGCGCACAGTATCTGTTTTTGAAGGAAAATGGCAGCTGTCTGTTTGCAGGTTACTGTTGAATTGTGGTGGTGGATTTCTGAATTTTGTATCCTCCCAAGTCTTTGCTGAATTACAACCACTACAGGTATTGACCACCATACAATATTTTGTCTAAAAGACCATTCATGTGTGAACCTGGATAGAGTGTGTTTGAAGGCATTTTCACTATCCAGCTTAATATCACAGCAGTACTGTGAAGTATCGTGCATTAATTATCACTTAGGAACCCAACTGGGCTACTCCCCTTCCCAAACTTCTCACTCCATCTCCTTTCTTCTTCGACCACCATCCCCGCCCCCATTCTGAAGCCTTATTGTAGTTGAACTCATGTGTTACTCATGACATGTGATATTTGGAGTGCTGTTAAGACCTTTTTCTATTCCAGGATCCTCCTCTGGGGAAAGACTCTCTCTCTATGTTTGGTTCACTTGGAGCAGCTGTGGAAGTTGTTCTCATTTTGTATCCTTTTTCAGCAATTTTCTCTTCTGTAAAGACCGATGTTGTCCTCTTTGTCGGTCACCTTCCCGTTGTTCACCAGAGTCTCCTGCATGTTGTTGGGTTGTCACGTGTAGTAGGCAGAGGCCAAGTGCCACAGTGAGTATGAGGGAATGTTCCAATAATCTGCCTTGACTTTTTTAATTGATCGTGGGATAGGAACATTGCTGACCAGGCTAAATATCCAGCCTCTGATCTGTCGTAGCTGCAGTATTCATGTGCCTGACCCAGTTCAGTTTCCGATTCATGGTAGCCCCCAGGATGTTGAGGAATGGTGACAATGCTGTTGAATATCAAGAAGCAATGGTTTCTACACGGCACGCTATCTGGTGTGAGTATACTTTTCAGCCCGAGCCTGAAAGCTGTCCAGGGCTTGCTATGTGTAGGTACAAACTGCCTTAGTAACTGAGGAGTCACAGATGACACTAAATTTTGTGCAATCACAAGTCCAAGTGAATGCCCCCACCTGTTATCCTTTATAATTGAGGGAAAAATCATGGATTTAGGGGAGGCGGGGCCTTGGTTTAACTACTCACCAATAAGATGGCTCACTAGTTTCTGATGCTCTAGGACTAGTTTTTTGACTGGCATGTTGAGTATTTTATTGCACCTTAATGTCAGTGCAGTTACTTAATGGTGTCATCAGTTGTTGGATTTTACAGTTCCCCATTTTTCATCAAACTTGCCCCCAAGAAGCAGGACACCACCATGACTAAGGTAAGGGTTGGGAAACGTATCTATTAGAATGATTTCCTCTTTGAGGATTATAATGGTCAGACTGGTATAACTTAGAGTGCCATGTTGTTCTTTGTTTTCTGTGTATGCTATTACAACACTGGGAAAGGGTCAGATCAGTGGCTATTTTCCCCTTTGAAATCTCCCATCATATTCTCCCTGATTCCAGTATTATGATAAATGTTAAATCTACAAAAAAAACATCCACACTAGGGTCTGTATGGAGTTATAAACTGGTTACTAATTCTTACTGCAAGCTATGCCGGTCGAAGTGCTGCCCACGGTATAAAAGCTGAGTTAGCTGACGACGAAGCTGTATTGTCAAGTTACACAGCAGCTACGGACAGTACTGTTCCGCTTGTTCTAATGGATTAAATTTTTAATATTAGAATACAGCCATCAAGTCCTCTGTCAAATATTGTGTAGTTACAAACATCTGAAAGAGGACAGGAAAAGCTGATAGGTCTTGCCAGTGAGTATTGTGAGCTAAAACTCAAACCCTGCCAGCTGTGTAAAGCTGAGGAGGAGGAGGAGGAGGAGGAAGTCTGCAGCAACCCTCTCCAAACTCTGGAGGTGATCAAACAATGAATGATAATACTGTCCCCCGCTACCCCGCCATGATCCTGCTACCTTCTGTATATAGAGATGTCAGACATTTACAGGAACTTGTCTAAATCCCTTTTGAATGCTTGTAGTAAGCCTGCTGTCAATTTATTCCAGAGTATAAGGCCCTGCATAAACAAGTCTTGCCTTCTAGCATCTCACCAGGTTGTATGCTTTTGCAACCAATGCTTGTGTTATTGGTCTTCCCTACTGACCTTAAGTAGCCTATCCACGTGGTCTGAATCTACTCCTTCAGTTACTTTAAGAATCACAATTTTATCTCCTTGGAGACTATCTGATCCAAAACTTTAAAAAAATAATCCAGGTCTCAGTCTGTCCTAGTAATTTGTAGGATCTTAAAAGAAGTAGCTAGTGAGATAGTTAATGTGTTGCTTTTAATTCTTTAAAAACTCATTGGATTCAGGCAATGTTGTATTAGATTAGAAAATAGCTAATGTAACTCCTTTGTTCAAAAAGGGGGAGGCGGAAAGTGAGAAGCCCCAGACCAGTTAGCTTAACATCTGTCATAAAGAAAATGTTAGAAGCTATTTTTAAAGACATTATAACAGGGTACTTGGATAAGTTCAAGGTAATCAGGCAGAGCCGACATGGTTTTGTCAAAGGGATAACCTGTTTAACTTATTTATTGGTGTTCTTTGAATAAGTAACTTGTGCTTTGAATAAAGGGGGACCATTGGATGTATTGTACTTTGATTATCAGAAGGCATTTGATAAGGTGCCACATCAAAGGTTGCTGAAAACAAAAGCTCGTGGTGTGGGGCTAACATATTGGCTTGGACTGAAATTGGCTTGCCATCGGGAAGCAGAGAGTAAGAATAAATGTGATTTTTTTTTCAAGCTGGCTGGATGTCACGAGTAGTGTGCTATGGGGTCGGTGCTGGTATCTCAACTCTTTACAATTTATATAAAATGATTTAGATGAAGGGATTGAAGGTACAGTAGCTGAATTTGCTGATGACACCAAGATAGGTAGGAAAGCGAGTTGTGAAGAGAACTCAAGGAGACAACAAAGGAATATAGATAGGTTAAGTGAGTGGGCAAAGATCTGGCAAATGGAGTACAATATGGCAAAATGTAATGTACATTTTGGCAGAAGAATAAAAAAAACTTATTATCTAAATGGCGAGAGGTTACAGAGCTCTGAGATGCAGAGAGATCTGAGTGTCCTAGTGCATGGATAGCAGTTATAGCAAGTCATCAGGAAAACTGATCGTATTATCTTTTATTGTGAGGGGAAATGAATGCAGGAGTTGGGGGTGTTTATACGTCAGTGATGCAGGGCATTTGTGACACTGCATCTGGAGCACCGGGTACAGTACTGATCCATTGTACTTACGAAAGGATGTTTACTAGACTGATATTTAGAATGGGCAGAGTGCCTTATGGGGAAAGATTAGTCCTGTATTGTCTGGAGTCAGAGTTGACTTAATTGTAACATATAAGATCCCAAGAGGAGCTTCATTGGGTGGATGTCTTTGTTTAGAAGAATCTAGAACTAGGGGTCACAGTTGAAAAATAAGGAATTGTGAAGATTTGTAGCTCGGGTTGTGGATGAGGTTGTAGACGTGCTCGCCAAGCCGGTGGATTTGGTTGCAAATGTTTTGTCACCCTGCGAGGGAACATTGTCCGTGCGCCTCCGGTGAAGCATTGGTGTTCTGTCTCACTTGTTATTTATCTGCCTCGGTTTGCTAGGGTGGTTGGTATTACTTCCTGTTCTGTTTTTCAGTGGTTTGTGAGGCACAGATCCAGTAGTTTCAGGGTGCTGTCCTTGTTGATGCTGTTGGTGTCATGGGGTGTTTGTCTTCCTGATTCGACCAGCAGTGTGGCAATTGTCTCTTTGGCTGGGTCAGTGTTTATGAATGTAAATAGTGATGTTACATCAAAGGATATCGTTATCTCGTCCTCTTCTATCCTGGTGTCCTTGATGATGTTGAGGAATTCTTGGGAGGAGTGGATAGAGTGGGTAGTGTTGTCAACTAAGTATTTCGGTTTCTGTTGTAGTCCTTTGGCTAGTCTATATGTTGGTAGTGAGACAATGGATCTTAGGGGGGGGGTCACCTGGCTTGTGTACCTTAGGGAGTCCATAGAAGCAGGGTGTGTTGGGTCCCTCTGGCTTCATATTTTGGTAGTCTGTCTTTCTGATGTTTCCTGAGCTAAGTAATTTCTTCAGGGTTGTTGTAATCCGGTTCCCTAACTGTGATGTTGGGTCTATCGCCATCTGTTGGTAGGTGTTGGTGTCTGCTCGTAATGCGTTGGCTTTCTTGATTATTGGGGGATATACAGGAATGTAGAGTTAAGGTTTAAGTCCGATCAGCCATGATCTTATTGAATGGTGGAGCATGATTGAAGGACTGAGTAGCCTACTCTTGTTCCTTGTTTGTATGTAACTAAGGGCCTTTTAAACTAGGTTATCAATCTAGTAACCCTATTGGTAACCTTTTCTGCAGCCTCTATATCCTGCACTATCTGAGGGAACCAATACTATACACTGTATTCAGGATATAGCATGATAAAGTCGTTTAAAGGATACTATTATCTTGTCATGAATAAAATCTTTCAAACAATCTGTTTTATCTAGATAATCGGGAACTGTGTGTCACTGCTTGTTCTGAGCTCAGCTCTGCCAGTATTCTCCCGGACTCTTGGTAAGCGGTTGTAAATTTCTTCAGTGACTGTAGCTTCCACCTCAACTTTTAATTACTGTGTCTAAATCATTCAAATTCTCCTGGTCTGCTGAGTGTGTACATCTCTGCTGGGACAGTACTGGGGATGTCTTAATTGCTTTGAACTGTTCGGCCTAGGGAGGGCTGACCCGAGTTATCAGTTTGTTAACACGTACTTTGCTAAAGCGTGATTTTTTTTTTTGTATGCACGAATGAGGGAAATGTCAAGTGAAGTTGAGATGGAAGGAGTTTGAATTTACACAGCAACATATCACATTGGCAGAGCTCCATCAATGTATCTTTAAATTTGACATGCTGTTATTATGTCATTGAACACAATAGTCAGTTTGGAGCCCAAAACCAGCATGAGATTAATGACTTTGAATGGATTATTTGATCTGCTTTTGAGGATGAAACCCTCTTCAAAAAGTTCCAATGGGTCTTCTGTGGCAGCTTGAGCATGTAGGCAAGGCCTCTGCTTAATGCTTTATTAAAAGGAGGGCATCTCCAATGCAGCATTCCCTCAGTACTGCAATTGAAGGCATTTGCTCCTTCTGGCTAAATGGCCTAGACATGTCTGATGTCAAGGATCTCTTGGCGAGGATACGGTTGAGCCATTTGTCGTTGGCTTTGAGTGGAATGGAGAAAATTGAAGGAAAATCTATATTGGATGATATGTTGTTAACATTAGTATCTCAGAAAAATTGCAGTGTAAACTCCCACTCCACCTGTAAGTGATTTATTGCCCATCATGTCACTCTTGTGACTTCTCTGGATGTAACCAATAGCAATGAGAGAATTCGCTCCCTGTTACCTTGACTGTTTGAATGACCTTTTGCTACCCCTTTTTCATATTGCCTCTGGTAACCAGAGAACATTAATATGATATTTGATAATAAGGAATAGTTACCTCTTTGTATAATAAAAGGAAGGCACTGGTTTTCTGTTTCCACGTAAAAACAGATTAAGTTGTGGAATGTGTTCTCCAAAATGCTATTTAGAAATCCCAGAAGCAAATGCAATAAAAACAAATTTGCTTCACACAAGTCGTGACAAGCCTTTGGTCCTGATGGCGTCTTCTGAGCACCATTCCAGTTGGCATTTGAGTTACCTAAGACTGCCTTTAGATGGCACCAAACACTTCTAAGGCCACTGGGAGTTCAGCCCCATTTTCAACTTGCAAATCAAAAATGTATAAAATTCAGTTTTTCTCTCTTGTGAAGCAGAAGTTTTGAGAATTTGTGTAATGTTTCAAGAATTTCTTCTCTCGAAGGCATTGGTTCCCTCATTGGAATATAGTTGCATGCATAACGGGCTCTCTGTCTGCTAAATATTGGTGCACATCTTGACTGTTAATTAGCTATTTGATTTAAGAAGGTATATTTAGGGGAGGTGATGGCCTAGTGGTATTATCGCTGGGCTATTAATCTGGAGACCCAGGTAATGTTTTGGGGGCATGAGTTCGAATCCCACCATGGCAGATGGTGGAATTTGAATTCAATAAATATCTGGAATTAACAATCTAATGACCATTAATCCATTGTCGATTGTTGGAAAAACCCATCTGGTTCACTAATGTCCTTTAAGGAAGGTAATCTGCCATCCTTACCTGGTCTTGCCTACATGTGACTCCAGACCCACAACAATGTGGTTGACTCTTAACTGCCCTCTGGGCAATTGGGGATGGGCAATAAATGCTCTTGTTTCTCACTTTTGGTGTGGTCATATGACAGCATGTGTTTATTGAAGGCTTGAATGTAAAAAGATCCACTTTAACAACAATTTCACTTTTAACAAGAGACTACACAGTAGGAAATGATGAGTAAAGTGATGCATGCAACCCTCCTGATTTCTCCTTCAAACATTAAGTCAGATGTTGGAATTGCTTACCTCCTTTATTAGGACCTTTTTTTTATTTTAGGAATCACAAACTTTGACTTGTTGGGGAACTTTGGCAGTTTTAACTGGCTTGGAAATTTTTACATCATCTTTCTCTACAACATGCTTTTTGCTGGCCTCACTGCAATGTGTCTGGTCAAAAAATTCACCAGGGCTATGCAAGCGGAACTTCTCCATGCATTTGGTAAGTACTACCTGTGCAGGTACAACCATGTTATGACACATCAGTAAACTAATTTTTCGTGATTCTAATTATTGAACTCCACTTTGAGGATAAAGAATGCTACCTTCCTGTCAGGCATTCTGATTGGGTACATCTTGACAGGACCAAGGTGCTTTCAATAATGTCATAAATATCTTTTTAGAATAAGAACCATGTTGAGAGTGTGATGATGTGATGTTCACATTTGTAACATTTAAAAACATGTGGATAACTTATTGAACCTCCATTCAGTTGTTGGGTACAAAATCCTAATTGATTGCTACAGTTGACGCATTTTGTCTCTCATTGAACTCAAAACCTTGCATCAGGTAGATATGAGTGTGTAGATTAGAGATGCTTGGCTTCACCTGAGAATACCAACTAACTTTCGACAGCTGCATAATGATTGAAACAAAGATCGTGAGCCAGTCCAATAATGCAAGCATCCCTTGTTGCTGAGTAATTGTACATTTTCTGCGTTAAAGTTAGTTTAAATGCTTGAAGCACAATTCTCTGGCAAGTTTACGTTGTAGAGCTGTTCCAAGATGTGTTTACCTCTGAGCTGCATGCCATTTGTATTGCAGGGCAGATTCTACAGTTTCCAGAACATTGGGTGGCCACTAATTATTATTCAATTTTAATCAGACTTTTTTTTCCTTGTCTTCTCTGAGTTCTTCACTTGTTGGCATAACGTATACAGGCCAGCAAGCAAAGAACATCTTTGTCATCAAGTACAGGTGACCTCAGTATGGCTGGCAGTATTGCTTTCGGTTATCATCAAGAGTCGTGCTTCAAGGCACTTCGTGACTTTCAGGTTCTTGAAAGGCAGCACTGGGCTTTTCTTATCTGAATTGGCCTGAATTGTGGTGTTTTTAATATTTTCTTTTCTTATATTTTCTTTTGGAGGTTCCTGCTGCAGTCCTTACCACTGACCGCACCCCCACCCAATCGCTCTCCTTGATCGCAGTTAAACCAAACTGTTTACAAATTGCCATCCTATTTCATCCCAAGCTGAGTTTCTGACCCCATATACTCTCAATCTCAAACACCACCTACTTTGATCTTCCTTCAAGCTCTCTGTCCCTAAACCCCTCACCCTGTACTTTTTTGTAATGTGTATTCTCTACTATCCCAATGGTCTCCTAGTCAGCACTCCACCTTCCACTCTCCATCAACTTCAGCTAAGCTAGAACTCTGGGCATATCCTATCCTGCATCAAGTCCCAATTGCTCATTACTTCTTTCCTTGCTAATCTCTAGTGACTGTGCTTCAGTGTTCCAATGCTTCATTTATAAATTCCCGTTCCAGTCTTGGGCATCATTCCTTGTGTATCTCTCTGACCTTTCTAAACACAAGAATTCTGCCTCAGCAAGCAGATCAGTGTGCTGCAAGTTACCAAAACAAATTCATATACGATTTTAAGGTGGGGGGGGGACAGGGAGAAATAACTACAAATTAATAGGTTTTTTTTAATCTCTACTGTCCCAAATTCACTGAATTTGGATGCCACTTGAAGCCAAATTTAATTCCTTGCAACCACATTGTGCAGAAGGTGCTGTAATGCCCCCTTTCTCCAAATATTCTGCTGTCGATTTTTGATTCCGATTCAATCTCCAGTTGTTGATTTTGGAGCAATCTCATTAACATTGTTATATTAGCATTTGATAATGACTGTGCCCATTGAGGCAGTGGTGAGGGAGGGACAGCTGAAGATTTGATTGCAGTAGGTTTGTTCATAGGTCTATGAAGCCAAGTACTGTAGATTGAATACTATTTTTGGATTAAGGTACAAAATGTTAAACTTTGTTGTAGTAATCTGGCATTCCACATTTTGGCTGAAGCGGGTTCCAAGTTGACTTTTCATGGTTTCCTTTGAAAATTGCATCAACAAGGGTTAAATTACACTCTGGCCATGTTAGATCTGTGGTCAGTAACTAGTGACGTTTGTCCTGAAATACAATCCCAGTCTGGTTCCTCTGGGTAAATGTTGCTGAGAAAAGTTTTGTCTCCTGGGAGCTATTTCTAATCTCTCATTGTCAACAAATTGAATGCAATGGCTGCCCAAGCACAAAATCGGGGCCGCAGCTCATTTCGAAGGGTCAAGATAAGAAGGGATGAAGAGCCTCGCCTGCACCATATGATTAGGAGCCTGTACCCACCTATGGGAGGGAGTTGATATTGGCACGTTAGCCGTCTTTTATAAAGGCAATTTCTAGATTGTGAAGGGTTTTTATACTTCAAAAGCAAACTACAATGTGCCGAATTGTATGGTATTTATAAGTTTATTGAGATAATATGCACCAATTGTTCAATCAGTTAAGTTACCTGCCATTGTTTGCTGTATTCCTAAATTTATGAACAGACTTTCTTGCAATGCCAAATGCCTTTTTTTTTTGTTTTTGTTTTGCTTCATTCAATAAGGTGCTTTTGAATCTGGAGTATGAAGTTATGCGCCCCCAATAAAGCAGCCTGACTGTGACAAGGTGCTCTCCAGAATATAAAATCTAATAAAATCTACTAAAATCTATTTATAGTGCTTTTTGATGCTAAGTGGACCCTGGGTAGGGGAAGAATAGGAGTTTGCAGTGAGGAATTGTATCTCTGTTGTCCAGCATAATGTTTTTCCCTTCTTGGATCAAGGCTGAGGTAATAGAGCTAACCTGGTCATTCATTGCTGTGCATGCAATTTTACTGTATGCAAATTAGATTCCACACTTGTCTACAGAGTTGCTTTATGAGTAACTCATTGGCTTTGAAGTGCTTTTTGGATGTCTTGAGGACACAAACAACAGCATAGAAATGCAAGTTATTTCTTTTGAATCTGACCACTGTTTTACTTGCCTTTTCTGCGATCATAACTCTTTGTTACTTTTACAGTAGTCATGGAAAAGGATAGGTACATACAGCAGGGTAAGGTTTATAATTGGGGGAAGGGTAATTACAATTCTGTTAGGCAAGAACTGGGTAACATAAAATGGGAACAGATGCCGTCAGGGAAGAACACTATTGAAATGTGGAGATTGTTTAAGGAATGCATTCTGTGTGTGCTTGACATGTTTGTCCTTAGCAGGCAGGGAAGATGCGATCAACTGAGGGAGCCTTGGTTCTTGAGAGAGTTCGAACGACTGGTTAAGAGGAAGAAGGATGCTTGT